CCTATTTTCCTTCACAACAAGGCTTTCAAAGCAGTCATGGTTGAACGGCAGCCGTGCATCAGAGATAAACATTGACGTCGTGCTGTGGACGATGATGATGATGACTCCCTTCAAGTAACTCTATATGTGGGTTTATGCTTACTGGCTAGGAAAAAATGATGCTCAGGACAAAAGTGAAGAAGTCGCTCCCCGCTATCCGTAAACTGGGCATCGGCTCCAACTCCACTGACTAATTTTACTTTTCTCCGGCTTAGTCGTCCAACTTTGGCGTTCATGTAGTCTACCATGGTGACTATGTCCGCTTGCTGGCCTTAGCAGTCGCAACAGATCTAGGTAAAACCCGTCCTCCGATTCAGAACTACGGTCCATCGAATCGTATCCCCATAAGACAAATGAAGACATTTTACTGCATCGACCTGCGTTGATCATACTTGGACAATACAACCGCATAGTGCAAAGACGACTGTCTATTGTGATCCACTCCAGCGAAGCCCTTTCATCCTAGGGGCTAAGCGCAACTCATACTGCGGACATCACCAGCTCTTGTATCAGATCACTAGATACCAGAAGAGCGAAGTGTAGAACTTCTGAGTTCTATAAAGTGGCTTCAAATGTACGACCGAGACGGGGTCCTTTATGTGTGTTTCGGAGATATAGCTTTTGTCGGCAGAAACGGAAAGCAAGCAGTCAGTAGGAGATGCCTGTTGCCCAGTTCGACAGAGTGTGGGCATAGGAGACTGTAACGTGGATCAGATCTTCTGAAGTTAGCAAGTGAATATTTTGTTTGAATCTCCCGGCAATGGTTTTGGGGACAGTGGATAGTGGACAAGCAAATGGATTGATCGTGCTGCATCATTCGATGGTTGGGGATACAGCGTGGAGGAGGACCAGTGATCGAAGAACTGCGAGGGCGAATGATACTTCCAGGTTGCTCAATCGAAAAAAGCCCATTGCCTGAGTTCCCTAAACTTGAAAATTTGACTCCTAAGTTTGATCTGCAAGACAGTGGTATAAGGTAGGGTTTGGTTTTGGGACCCTATCACTAGCCTCTGCTCTGAAGGTCTGGACCGCAAGGCAGCACTTGTTGGAGTTTTCTTATGAAACCCTTCCCGAGCCAGTGACTCAATAATCTGACTTACTTGGCTCCATGAGAATGGCCTGGCCCGAGGACACAGAGTAAGGCACAAATAAATGTGGATGCGTACAGTAAGCACCTTCTGAGCAGCACCAAACTCTTTAAGCTTAAAAATACTTTGACCTTAATCAGAAATATATTTGTAGTCACAGTAAACCACTTGGAGATCCGGGTATGCGGGCTTTATGGCCCGACCTTTTCCAACTTGTTCTTTTTCGGGGGAAGGCAGCATCACTGCTTCCATTTATATGGATATGCTAATCTCCCGAAGGAAACACCTTACTGCCTTAACGCTCATATCGCATAGGGTAGTACGAATACACCTCCAGACCGCCTTGTAACGCGATTTCTCGCAGTATCTGGAACACTGTTTCTTCTTTTTCGGGCTGTTCCCCATTGGTGTTCCTGTTACATTTGAACCTTAAGGAACTGAGGTGTAGGAATTCTTCAGCCTACCTACGCATGTGTTTCCTTTCGTGACGCATTATTAAAATTGACCGATAGATGACCAAATTTCATGCGAATCCCAAGATAGTAGCCAGGTTTCAAGGCGTGCATTGTAAAACAACCCATAGGTGACTAAACTGCCCACTCGCACTGTTTTAATGGGGGCCGGAATTTTCCCACTGGTCTGCGTAAAGCTTTATCAAGGAAAGTTTTGTGCATGATCGTCCCAAGGCTGGTAATGGTCTCTATCGGAACACGATTGATTTCCTTTAGGACTAACCAATGATTAGGTCTTCCATTAACATCCTAAAGCCGTAGTCTTTATGGGTAACCCAGTCGCGTCAACACGTAAATTTTCCCCGTGGTGTGAGACCAGAATTGTTAGTTTTTCATTCACTATTGTCGAGAGTGTGGGAATTCTTGAATTCTTGAATTTTTAATGCATCCATGGGTATTTGTTCATTTGATACTAATCGGGAAACGTGAAATGGCATCACCACATTCTTATTATTACGTTATTCCAAAGAGACGTGTCAGCAAATCCTCTCTGGTCATCAGCTGACAAATAGCTCAGTAAAACTGGATACCGTAAACAAAAACCAATCGTTTCACCAGAGTGTTGTTTATTTGTATAGTTTAGTCAGTACTTTCTACTCCAATAAGCGTAGTACTTCGCCTGCATATTTTTCAGTGCTAAACTGTAAAGGCGGTCATCCCCATGAACACGTTCTTCACGTTCCAGCACAGGTCAGTCATTCGGACACAAGGAATGTGTCCTTGAATTCAGCGTGTGCACACTCCAGCTCTATGTGGTACATGCACACGTGTTCGCTTGCGTGGTTGTAGTGGTAGTGCGGCGGGCTTGTGTCGCTCCTTCATGTGGGTGAAGCGTGCCCGTTTTCGGTATTTTGGAGCCGAGCTAAACTTTCTACAAACGTGGCTGTGTCCAGGCCAATGCGCCTGTGACCGTTGGACCGCAACGGGCCATTGTGAACCTCCGCCCTGTACGTTTACGCCAAGCGTACCAGATTAGCAGTATTGCTATGCAATGGTGTGTTAAACAAAACAGTGTGGAATTTTGTTTGAAATGCGGCCATTCCATACGAAATGAATGCACACCCATGTACATCTACGCATGTACCTACTTGCGTGTAGCAAAGTGAATAAGGAACAATGTACCTACTTGCGTGTAGCAAAGTGATATAAGGAACACAGAAACAAACAGTCTGTTCTTGTGTGCGTTATTCCTAAGCAACTCTGGGTCACCCACTTGCATACAGTGCTGGATATCAGTACACACCGCAATCAAAGGAATCTAGTACTTCTTGCAGATGCAATGTACTTAACCTTATTGAATGTTGATGTATTTTTGGTGTACATTTGTTATAAATACCAACAGCATGTGTGCACACGTCCATCTGACGGAACGAACAAGTAGAGATGAACGACGAAGCCCTGTTCAGGACAGGTGTGTCGTTCCAAAGGTATACACTGAGGACAATACAGGTAGAAAATATATTTGCACGATTAATCTACGTAGCCTGGACTACCCATTACATTATTGAACTAGTTACGGACGTTGTGCAGCCTGCAAGAGCCCTGTTGTGACGCGCAAACTCTGCTTCACTGGTCGTGTTACGACCCGCTCTGGCCCTCATACTGAGACACAAATGATTTTATCCAGCAAAACTGAAATCACTCCGCGATATCAACGATAGAGCGAGCATGCCTACTCATACGGAACAAGCACAAGCCACCAATCAGTGAAGAATACAACCAGCTCACTAGAAATCAATAGTCAGTGTATCAAAATCACTGGAGCCGAATAATAGTATGGGTGTCCACGTACGTTAACAAATTTGCCTGTATCGCTAACACTCTATGGACGGAAGTATAAACATCCTTCGAGGTACCGGGGAAAAGGTAAAGAAAACAAATCAACCTTAATGTAGCTCAAACTCTCTCGTTCAGTGCAGCTTCCATGTTTAAGACTACACAATCATTCTAAATGTTACAGCAGATCTAGTTTTCGTGACTCCCTGATGAAACGGAAAGTAGCGTTTTGAAGTGGTGTAGCTGTTGATGATAAGTCAGCAAATATAGCAAGGTCAATCATCCAATAGGTTACTTTGAATTCACACGATGGGCAACCTCCATTCGGAGATCACTGTCTATCCAAGAAAAATGCGGAAACCTGAAATTTCGTCTAATTTCAACTTTACTTGACTGAGTTTACTACCTTCAATTAATAATCTTACCGGATTTCTTTCATCTTCACCAGAATTCCCTTTATTTTAACTCCGAAATACCTATCAGTCATTAGACGTGCACGATAACTTCGGTATGCTATTTATGGGCTTCACATAATAATCTCTCGATCTGAATTGGAATTCAATACATTTCGACATTCACCTCTGTTAAGTACTATCTTATTAAAATCAAAATAAAAAGTTAAAATGTGAACATTAAAAGAAGCACGCAAAATCTTGTACAGTCATCCCACAGATCACCTGAAAATGACTGACGTCCTAGCATCACCTTTGTCGTAGGTTTAGATTATTTCTGTACCGTACGTACAATAACATGTTTCGCATCGGATGTAAGCTTTGACTACACAGGAACGAACCGCGGTGAACCAGAATGTAAGCTTTGACGAACCGCGGGTGCACCAGAAGCTAACCTGAATATGAAAAATCCTATCTTCACCAGCATTAAGTAAAACGAACCATTGTCGCATTGATAAGCTACGATAGGTAAATGCTATATAACGAACGATGTCTAAGAGATGCTGTCGTGAAGAATAAGTTAGGCCCTTTAATGTTCATTATAAAGTGAGACGAAGCTTAAAATTCACACATCGGAAAAACATATTGATGGTTTTGTAAATAAACCATCACTTAGCGTACTTGAGGAAGCTATACAGGTATCGAACGTTTAAAAAACTGGCTTTCCAATTTCTATAACTGAAATCTCTCATTGTGACTTATTTCCGGTGTATTACAGTTGATCAGACTCTTAGTTTGTGTTGAAAAATAACCTTCCCAGGTAGGAAAACCTGTATATTTATGGCCAGGATGGCCGGTCTGATTTCCCTTGGCCTCCGGGAAGTTTTTTTAAGGGATGACTGTACGTCATTCAAGTACTGGAACGTGCAATTGCCGCTTCTTCTTGTTCGTTTGGACGATTTTTTCTCATATTTCTTCGTTACGTCAGTTCAATCTTCACGAGCCCAGGCGACAATAAACGTTCAGATGTTCCCATCTATTAACTGTATCAAAAATTAATAAGAGCCCCAATGACGATATAAACCTGATTATCAAGGTAGGACTGGTGTATTTGGAGTTTCGTGTACTGCACTAGATTGAGAAAAGCTCGTCGCCCTAACGCTCAGTCACTTTTTATTTTTGCATTCTTTCAGACACAGCAAAACTGATTTTGGATCTAAAGTGATAATCCGCCAAACTGCGGACGCGGATGAACACTTTTTCAAAGCTCTCAGAAGATTAAAGGTGGATGTTTCAGTAAGTTGGAACGGGGAACAATTTCAGTGGAATATTTAGTACAGACCGTATCATTTTGGCAGAGCTTTTCGAATGGCTTCTAACTGTGTTGTGCTGGCTTCCCAATGGAATCTTTCAAGCCCAGTGTGTTTGAAGGGTGATCCTTACCGTAATTGACCCATAGCCCCTATTCGTAAATCTTAGTTCAAATACAAATTTATAGCGACATAATGACTGGCTAATTCATGGAAACCGTTGGCTAGTTCAATGGAGCACTATCGTATTGATTTGAGTTCTGTCTTTTGTAACGACCGAAATCTGACCACATTTTCGTGAATTCCATTGAGCAATTGGCACCAAGACCACATTTAATGAGAGGTTAATTAAAGTAGTCTAACAACGAATCCTATTGGAAGGGACACCTAGGCCTTGTTCATAGAGGCTTGTTTTGGATGAACTGTCTTATCCGCTTGTAGAAATTACCGGGGTTGGTTGTAGATACTGAAACAGCTTGCCAACGTGTCGAGTTAGTCATTGTTCAGCGCCCACACGGTCTTCAACTAATCAATCCAAATAATCTCCCGGTAAAATTCAAGAAGAAAGAAAACTTCATGTGGCCTGGAGTATTGCAAACCGTTCAGCAAATCCACGATCCGGGCTTGCTTGCGTACTTTCGTTAACGTTAATGGCTAGAGGAAATACCCCCATTGTTGGGTGACAAAACCGCAACAGAGTTTGGCAAGAAAGCTCTACAACAGCCTGTCTGGAGCCTGCCTTGCGTATTAACCAGTTTAAACTAGAGCTTGCAACAATATCCTTACCCGAACATAGACCTACGATGGTACTCTGCGTAAGTTACACGAATCCCCTAACATGGTCAGCACTGTCGTGAAAACTCACCAGTTTAGGTTCGTCCATCTGACAGCGAAGCTCCCTCAATATAAGGGCTATGGATCGAAGGTGTTCGCACAGTTGAGAGACTCCCATCTTCACGAGCCCAAACAAGCAGTTTTTAACACCTCAATTCGTTTTTGTGCGCTTCTGTTAGATATCATTTCAAGTAAAATCAATAAAATCTTTTTTAGCCAGAAAGATTGGGATTTTCCTTGTCAGATGATTTCATGGCTAAAAAAAGAGACTGGAATCTCCCACTCATACAGACCCACCTTCCCTCATTTCGACTGCTATCGTATACGTTCACATCATGCATTCTTCCGAATATGTCGCGAAGCCTACTTCGTAGTGAAAAGTTACTGACTTGAGGCAAAATGTACCAAATGTTATGAACAAATGCATTGAACGGAGGAACTTATGTACTATCATTACCTGACCAAAGCCTTACGGATTCAGCACAAGATGACGCATTTAATGTTCCAATTTTACCAGATGTCAGTTATTGGGAAACGTGCGACAATTTGTCACGTATTGTTCGTTTCATTTCTCGAAATGCCTTTAGGTTTCCGAATGAGGTTGCGCTGCGCTTCCTCGATTCACTACGCAGTGGACTCCAAAAACTGATTCTGGAACAGTCGAATGCAGTGAAAACTATACCATTGAGTTGTTTGGGTGGGGGCGTATTTGAGGAGCGGAAATTCCATTTTTTTGCATTCAATTAAATTGCATCAAAATATGCTATCCACTGTTACTTCCGCGTATGATGATTGTCCATTTGTGGTAGGTTCTAAGTTTTCTCGCCCTCTTGTAGGGAATGTCTGCCGTTTGAAATCTGACAGAGCCTTTGTGATCAGCAAGTGTTTTCTTGAAACGTGAATAAAACATACTAAGCTTTCTTCCACAGTGATCCCACTGAAAGCATAAAAACCCCCACGTATGAAAGTACAATAGTGAGATAGTAACAGGATATATAAGGTGGGCTTCCGGATCAACTATAGTCACATTGACACAAGGATACGTTCGTCCGCGGAATAGGTCAACTACATCACTGGTTAAAACAGGATAATCATTACGGGCCAACTGATAAGTTGACAAAATAAGTGTGCAAACCAAAATAGCCGCAGGTTTGGCCATTGACCCCAACTGATTTCAGGCCTAAATTATGTAATTCCTTTCTTTCATTTGACTAGTAGTTTCGTAGCCAGAACTACTTCTGACTTCCTGCTAACAAGCATCGATTTATCAAGACTGCCTAGCAATTCAATAGGCTTATTCTAATGAATTGTTTGTTTGATCTTCCTTGTAAGATAGTCCAGGAGCTTCAACCGGTGCTTCATTTCATTAAACTGAATAATGTTATCCACGGTTGGTTGCAGTTGTGGTTTTCGGTTAACATTAGGCTGTACATTTCCAGTAATACCTGCATGCTGTCGGAACTATATCTCGTGATTAGGTCACTTTTTCAGCTTTTTAAAAGCGCTCTTTTGATCAACTATTGATGCTGAACTGCTTCTGCCTTCGCGTGGTCTGTTTTATATCGATCATCTTATATAGCGACCAACAGCCTCATAATGATGCTTCCTCTGAAAAAAATCCAAATGTCTTAGCAAATCCAAGGAGAAAACCGTTCTCAGCCATCAATGACTAAAGTTTTGTGAAGTGTTTAACGCATTCACCTCCATAGTTTTCACACTGCGTAAACTGATCTGTTTATTGAGTATGGTTGTTCAGAACGCAGTTCGATACTAGTTACAAGCATTTTATGAGATAACGAAGCATATTTTTGACCTTTGGTTCATAACTCAATCCAGTGGAACGTTCCGCTTCAGTTTCAAATGTCCGGGAAGCGTTCCCAGAACCTTGCAAGCGTCGGAGAAACCATATCCTTTGGGACATCTTTGCTTTAATCGCTTTGAAAACTGTCACCTATCTACTTTTCAACAATTCACTCAAACCGTTTGGGCATTTGGAAGATATTAGCGTCTGGCCTATTTTGAAGCTCAAAAACTGCGCTGACAGGCATCATTATGGAGTGTGACAAACTAGATTTGGAGTTCAAGCGCCTAAAGCTAACTGGAAGCCTTTACCATCAATAGCCAGAAAAGCCCAGGCATACGAGCACTTTCATCAATATCGCCACTCATTAGCCACAATGATGGCGGAAGATTAGGATAGCTGAACTTTTCGGGATCCGACCACATCGTTCCTAGGTGGCATGTAATTTCAGCACAGCTATGAAGGTTTGCAGAAGTTCGGCATACAAGTTGCCGTTTGTATTCGTATCCAACTGAGTGATCCTCACCATAATTTGCATCTTGGATAAAAACATTCTAAATATTTAGGAGTTCGAATATACTTATAATTGTTGACCCTTTCAAAAAGACCATCCTCCTCGGAACAACAAACTTTGTAAAGAGCACCATATATTTATGTATACTCGTTCAAAATGCAAACCAGCCGGTCTCTACATCCATATACATGTCCTGTGCCCATAGGGCGACAACCTGGAGAAACCAACCAATACCAGCTTGCTCTGAGAGGTGATCTATTCTAGGGAGGACTTTCCCGTTGAAAGACTTCGTGTATCACAGGCAGTATCTACTGCTTCCAATGTTGATAGGATGGAAATGACGAGCAAGATGCTGGAGGAAGAATTCGCTTGGGCTGAACAATATGAATACTGTCTGAATACTGTCTTGTATAATGGTGCACTGTCTAGAGAAGAAATGCATGTAACATCGTTTGGTCCACTCACTAGTCAATATCCCTTCCGGGCACCGTTATTCCATTTTTAAATGCAAGCGGTTTTAGTTGGTCCCTGAGACCTTAACGGACTTATAGGCGAACCATGAGTAAATATTCCCAAGACAAGGAATTCTGATGGTAATCCGGACAGGCATATAGTAAACAGGGCACCATCATGCATAACATATATCCTGTTCAATTCGCGACGTCCAAAAGACAGTACATACATCTATAATGCAACGGAATACATCCACAATAGGAGTATCTCCATGTTTGGTGAGCCTAGTCTAGCACTACTTTCTCCAGAAAGCACTGATGGAGGATATTAGCCGCCGGTTTAAACAGGCTTTTGCTAGCTCATTTCAGCGTACCGGACATTCCACTTGGTAGTGGTAAGCAAACTCTCATAGCCTGAGTCCGATTTCAAATAATTCGTGAAGAACTTCATGCAGTACCTTGACATGTACTACTATGTGTTCATTTTGGTCGTTCACTGCAGGTAAATGGTTATGTTGGTGGACAATTACCTCACATTCGTTAACTTAGGAGGCAGCCGTCGCTAAATTTTAGAAAGTTAAGGTCGCATCCGATTTTTCCAGAACGTCGAAACGCTATCTACTAAAAAGGGTTGGCTTGTCTATTAGTAACTGTTTCTGTCATCTTGCCTGACTATCTTGAGTAAAGTTACACAGTCTTATGAGGTTGCTCACCGATCGCCTTTACATTAGTCTGCACTGACCTCATGGTTCCAATTAAAGAAGCTATGGAACGTGACTGGATAAAGAATGACTGGAAAGCAGCATGTTTTGGGTAAAAGTGAATGGTTTGTCTCGGTTAGTATCGTGGGGTGTAATCAACTAATTTGGATTGATCAAGGCCGTTCTTCTAATTGAATAATATAACGATTGCATTCATAGTAATCACTCAGATGAAACCATCCCTAACAAAAGCGAATCTCGTAGAGTTACCTGAGGTTTGGTCAGGAACTGATAGCTTTTGTGGTCCCAACCAATTTCAAGAAGCGCCAGCTTAGTTCCCCCTAGCACAGTTTTCTTAGTTGACAACGGCTGGTATGCTACAATGGAGCTTCGGCTATTCTTGTATCTCTTTACGTGTGTTTCCGAAATAGTCGTGCGTTTCTAGTCATGATTTTCATTTATATGCTCATTATCGTTCGACAGCTTTTGACAACCTGTTTAGTGGGCTAAGAAGCAGCCGATGAATAATAGTTTTTCTGTTAACTAAACGAAAGTTTAAGCTATTTACTTGTTTTTTCTCACGAACATACAGACCTATTACCGTTGTATACTTTCAAGGTGTTTTGTTAATGAAGATTCCATACTGTTGTAAGGGAGAAGCAAGAAAAGTAACAAAGGGGTGGGGAAATCCCAAATCCCAAAGTACTGTGGGGATAGCGCGAGCATGCAGGTAGAATAAGTAGAAAAACAGTTGGGTTGTACTGCGGGGGCTGGTGAGAGTGGCGCAAGATCACTGTGTATAGATGAGTTAGGTTACCTTATTTCTGGTGGTTTTTTGTAGACATACCTGCTGTTGGTGTGAGGCATGTCCTTCGGGCTGTCCTCTTGCTTTACATCGTTTTGATATCCACGCATTTCTGTGATAATCGTTCAAAAGTTGATATTTGTAAGCGAAAGTGCTCGTGATGCAATGATGTAGACGTTCACTAAAGATATGAGTATATACTATACAGAAGTGGTGTTTATAGTGGATTTCGGGTAAAGCAGCTGCTTCAGCAGTCCGACAAAGTAACCTGTTCCAGGTGTCATTCGCACCTCAGGCGGCATCATGGATGGTATTTTTCTTCGGTGGTCTTCTCTGTCTGGAAGCAGACAGGAATTGCATTCGTTTGGGATCGCTGCTCACCCTCAGTCGGAGGCAATTTTCCATGAGTGGCAGAAAAAGGTCTCTTAAAGACGTTCATAGGTTCAGCCTAACAATACCGCGCGCCTTCTTTTTGGCTTTCTCACTCCTCAAACTGACTAGCAGCGTGCTCAGCTGGACCCCGCAGTTCACTCAGGATAAACTGAGCGTAGGTAGATGACTCGCCTGGCAACACTGCGCTATCTCTTTGCTTTGAACAGGATATGCGCAAACACGCTCCCTTTCGGTGTTTTGTTTGACTGATTACATGCAGTCCATCGTACAGGGTTTAGGGTCAGCGCGAACCTGTGCTCACCTGTTCTATGCCTTCCTAAATGATTCACCGAAGCAAGGGAACATTGAGTCACGCTAGGCTTGCCTATCACTTAGCCGTATGAAACTGGTACGTTAACGCCAAATCAATCCAGAAATTTCAGCGTTCGTTTACTTTCCTTCAGTGAGGTTAGACTTCTGCTACTAACACCAGCCCATCTATTTCACTCGGTCCATCACTTGGTTTAGGCTCTGAAAGCCGTCACTTATCTGCGGAAACTTCTGTGTCTAAACTGGATTGATGTAGCAAAATGAATACGGAAAAACTCAATGAACATTACGTTATTGCTATTACTACTTTCAACCCTGTTGGTTCAAGTCTGTATGTCGAAATGCAGCCAACCATTTTATTACTGAGTCACTGTTGCATTCTGCACTTTGAGTGTCTCAATGTATTTGTCATCTTCAAAGGTAGTCGGGCCCCATACGCTGAGCGGCTGGTCATCAGATTGTTTACTTCCCACTTAGATAAGATATAGCACCATCATTCTTTCTTGGTTCTAACCAGCCACCCAGGATGGAACGTAACGGCGTTCGGCTGCCAGCCGTGAGGTTGAGGGTTTGACTCTGACTAGTTAGTAAGCGGTTGTTGTGCAGTGTTCGCCGGCCTTCTAGTACATAACAACTTGGAAAATCCATTGAATTTTTATGGTTTACTGCTTTTTGTAGGACGTTTCTCACTTTCTAGTGTCCATGAGCCTTCCGCTTGAAATCTTAAAAGGACCAGGCACGCGGTAAAATCGGTAGCTTGAAAGTAAACATGCTAGTCTTAAATATTCATGGAACATTAGTGAACAGCATTCTGTGTGGCCCATAGCTAACTATAAAGTGTTTCTGTGCTACTGGTTCATCCTTGAATAGTTGGGCCACCAGATTCTGAAATCAGTATGTGTAATGCAACAAAAACTTCCTGAGATGTTAGGAGTTTGTGCGGAAGATGATTCAAAACTAGGTCTTCCTGTTGTGGTTTTTGATACCGGCGTTCCTGAGCGGTCTACTGTTAAGAGGCAATAAATTGCTTGATTCAGTGTTTCTGCTGTTCTTTAAATGGACACCTTGCTTGGACACACCGGTTCTGGTTTTTCATGTTCTTGTATTCATCTGTTCTGAATAAATATTCTGCATACATGCATTTGTAAGTCCAATAACCACAAAGTGTGGGTTTGTGCTTCGTCCTATCTCAAGAAATGTTACCTTCCGGCTAGCCAAGTATAGTCCATCTAGTAGCTATGAGAGACACTTTGACTTATCGATTTACGTCTGGTGTATTTTGATTTTTAAAACCCCACCAGGCGATTCAGATAATCATATTGACGCTAAACATCACTATTCACGGCACAATTTCTAGCCCTCAAGATTTTTGAAAAACTATGGTCGCTTTAGTTCGGGGTTGAATATTGACGGGCTTTCGAGACGGTGATCTGATACAATGTCTATCGTTCTTCTTATCCTTCTCATAATGAACAGAATAATTTCATTTCCCCTCAGCCCGAGCTACAGTCTTCTGAGCTGAAAACTCTTCCGTCGGCCTCGAAGCCCGTCAGAACCGACGTACGCCTTCCTAGTGACCAACGACAGAGCCCTGTAACTTCAGTATGTAGCCGCAGTGCCGCTCAAACAAATAGAAGTGCCGCAGAATTGGCTGTGGATGAACACTTTGAAAAGTCACTGGCAGCTTTCCCTGGATTTAGAACAACTCGGGAATCTGACTCGGAGGTTATCAGTTCTAAGTCGAAGCAAATCCTTGGGGCACAGGACCAGCACTCTGGTTTGAGGAAGTCGGCGGGAATACGTACCGCGCGGACATCACCGGTAGAGGAGTGCGATTCTCCAAAACATGGAAGATCCAAGGTACTCGTCAGACAGCAGTCCCAGCGAGGGCACTCTCCAACCGGCTCACCACTTTTTGCATGCCCAAATGAAGAGCCAATGATTTCGATTCCTTCTGAAATCCCCCAACCTCCCCCCTACAGTCGAGAACGGCTACTACATTTCCCAGAGCAATCTACATCTCAACCATCCAGCCTGAATTCATCAAAGGAAAAGTCAAATCAGTCGGATCACCTGGGGGATCATTTAGTTATAAATCGGACATCACCTATAACATCCGCTCCAGAAGCCACTAAGTTTCCCTCGAAATCCATCGTACCTTCCACAACTCCTTGCGCACAACCTTCCGCCAATACGTTCAAACCCAAGAAAAACTGGCTGGCTCAATATGACTGGACGGAAAATCAACCTTCTATGGGAGTTGGTAGTCCCGGCAGTCCAACGGAAACTCACCCCACAGGGACAGATTCAATCGGATCTTCGCCTTCGTTCTTTTCAGTCCGAATGGATCCTGTTATAGAAGACGTTTCACGTGTTCCTTCGGCATCCAGTCCACAACGGCAAAACGAACACACTGAGAAAAGCGACGAGCACTTTGTTCCAATACTTGACACATATGGGCCCGTGAATGAGAACAAGATTAGTTCTCAGAGTTGTTCAAAGGAAGCACAGCCGTCAAGCACCTCACCTATGCAAGCTACAATGACGAATACAAGCAGAGTGCAATTTGGTCATGAAAAAGCTCCAGGAGAGGTAAGTAGCCTTTAGAGCGCCTCAGTTACGCTTTAGCAGCCACAACCTCCTGGCCAACTTCAGATGTCGTGGCTTTGTATTTCATACAAAAGTAACTGAAATCTTACTATCAGTGATACCGGTTCATCTAGCAATGTATTCGAGTTTTTCGTGTTTACATTGTGTTCAACGTCATTATTTATAGTTCTACTATCGCTATTGTCGCCACTGTAGAAAGCTTTGAAGATCGTAACCACCTGATTGTGAGTTCGTTTTCCAGTGTGACATATTTAGCCTTCGTGAATCAAAAGGATTTTGAGGCCATAGGCTTTTCGACCGTGGGTTGTTCAGGATTTATCGGTGGTCAAACCTATTCGACCAGACTTGATATTAGTCTGAACCTGATGTTACCCGTTGATGTTCATGGTTCAAAACGAACCATACACATCTTTCAACGCAATAACAGAGGCCATTCCCTGCCAGTTCAGCCTAAAATTTATAAACATTCATGTCAGAACGGAGTAAACTTGGTTCATTTTCCAGGTCGTGAAAGCCTGATTAGACGAATGGTGCCCCACCACCTCTGGATCCTTACAATCCCTCTGGCTGAGAACCATTCATGTGCTCATCTGCTGGAGTCGAAGGGCTATGAAGGGCTGTCGAAAGCAATGCCATTTTATTTGGGGAAACAGATTTAGACAGCAGACTTAAAGACCACATAAGTGCCATCAGACATTTCGTCTCATGCGATCCTCCTCTTTGTTCTCTAGCTTTTCCATAAATTACCGATGCTTTGAACATACACATGGTAACCTCAGAAATACCAGCATTCTTCTTCTGTAAGACCACTTGTTATCTTAGTAGGTATAAAAATAAGCAGTACTCAAGTATTTTGACCTTACTTGGCCCAGTTTTGCCTATGTTATTTTCCAAAAATCAACCAATTGAGTTAGACATTTCACAAAATACATAGTTGAGATTCTGTTGGACTGCAGAGATAAATCACATAACCACTAAATTGCGTGGGTCCATGGTCTGGACAGCTTGGGCATTTGTCAATCTTCATTAGGATCGAAATACACGGAAAGAAATTATCAGTTAATTGTACTACTATATTTGGGTGCCTCAGAACATCAAAGCTCGTATGCGACCTCACACATGTGGATACCCTGCTAGCCCATATGGATGAACTGAGAAATCACAGCTGGATGGACCTATATCTGACGGTGCGGATGAAGTAGAAATGATTAGTAATAATCTTCATTCTCTTCACTTTTCAACATGCACAAGATTTTCCACCTTGTTGACCCTAATCTAGTTCGCTGATGCTTACCTTCTCTTGTCAGATACAAACTGTGGTTGATACATCAGGAGACAAATTTGCCGTGAAATCGCCTGAAACTCATTCGATCTCTATCACGTCCGTGGAGCCCGCAAAGTCCTTTCAACGGGATAGTGCCACATCACCGTTCCCTGTTGATAATCCAACCATTCATACCAGTGACAACTTTTCGTCCGAGGAAATCTCGTCGATCGAGAAGGGTGAATCAAAACTCATGAGTGTCAGCAAATCCAGGACCAGTTGCAGCCTGTCTAACCCGCCTTCACCCTGTCCAGTAGCAGGCGACGAATCTGGAGTATCTGCAGTGACTCCTGTTTCTGGTACGACCTCTGGATTTTTTAGTGGATCCACATACAGTTTGGATTCATCGCTGAGTCAACCACATGCTTTGGGCTACGATAACAGGGAACTGGATAGTGGTATTGATGTAAAGTCACTTTCTTCGGCTGCCGAAGAGCGGAGTTTTTCTGACAGTAAGTCGCATACCGGAATGAACATTGCTAGCAAGGTAAACCATACGGACACTCCTGGCCTCTCGTGGAGTCTTCGTAAACGTGCATCATCCGAAGCAAGTCCGTGGTCCACTTTAAAGCGGTCTAGGTCTGTGCTCACTTCACCTATATCGTACAATGAAACCTGTCCATCATGCAGCCCAATATCACGCGAACTGCTCAATGAAGCCATCGATGAACCTGTTTCTTCTGGTACTGATCGATATGGAGTGCTGACTGAATTCACATCTAGGTCTGTGGATGGTACTAGTCGGCCGTTAACTCCTGACCTATCAAAATCACAAACAAACAAACGTCTGGTTCATCAACGAAATGTTTCCGAGATGCAGTTCACAGATGATGAGCGTTTCCAAACCATAGAATCTCAGATGCCACGGTACTATAACCTTTATCGAAATCAGTGTGAGCACAAATCAAACAGCGAACCCTCAACTCTGTCGAATAATCCGACAGTCGCTAGCATAGGTCGATCTCTGTCGGACGCGGCAACTCTACCATCGCTTCATCTGACACACGACAAAAATGTGTACATCCTATGATGATGCGCTGAAGAACATGAGGACATCAGGTTGTGCATTGAGGCGATTTGCGGATCCTCTTGTTAGTGCCTTTATGAACAAAGAAGTTGTCTGAACCCCGGTTGTCTCAAACTGTATTATTCTGGATGTCTCAGTGACAGAATCCAGCGGATTTGGTAGCAGAACATCTACTCTTGATGCATAACATACAAAATTCAGAATTCTGATGAGAAAATTCTCTCACCTACACATGGGTGCAATCAACACGCGATCTTCCTCACACACCCACACCGCAAAATTTTCCGATCTTCATTACTGTCAGCCAGCCATCGGAATTTTGTTTCACTTACTGGGCAAATGAAATCAACTGAACATCCAAAAGTATGTTACTCTCAGCCAGTCCTTAAGTTTTGATTGCGTTTTTCGCCTCTCTTACACACATTTCCAGGTAAACCAATACCACTGCTGATCGGCTGCTTACCCACAAACACTGAGGAAATTTTCTTACAAGCTCGTTGCACGTGCACTATTTTGTACTATATGAAACGGATTTTATTTGCAAAGCCTTGAGTGAATTTTGTTCCTCCATTCCTGAACACACAAAACGCAATCAAACAATACTTGACGATGCTTTCATCAACAGAAGCGTCCCTGTACAGTTTTTCCACAGTGATGAGGCGGGGAAGTACGTGATGAACTGATTGTTTACTACTAAATTCTGACAACAGTTTTCACCTAATGGATTTAGACCAAACATATACTTTTGTCAGTGGGATTGCTTATCACTTTGTACAGAGTTTTCTACAAAAGTATGCATATATATCATTCATTGACCTTTTGAATTGGCGCTGATTTTTCCTGTTTCACTTCACGTAATATTTGATAGATAATGGGTAACTACGAACTAATAATGTGGGAAACCAGTGGAAAACTACTAAGCAACGAAGTAGAAAAATTTCTAGGAAAACAGAAGCAAACTTGTTTACCAAAGCATTTCAATTTCTCGGCTAAGGAGAGTGGCATATATCAAAGAATTAACCATCAAGATTGAAACAAAGTTTGCTGTTATCTGGACTGTATTTTGTGTGAATTTCTCGAGTGTCGCGGATACTGGATGGGTGGATTTGTTGCATTATGCGCAACTTTCAGAACTTCTGGTCCCGAGATTGTCTTGGTGACACCAAGTTGGGCTACATAATCCTCCACAGATTGTTTGCGGGAATTTCAGTGGTCCATGTTGAATAGGTTTGAAAATAAACTCATTGTCTTCACTTTGGTGGAAATATGGGCTAAATCCTTACAACGTTGTGTTTCGAATACTTGCCAGCAAGCTTCTGGATTCCACACCAAGCAGAGCTAGCTGAATTCGTCTTTTACTACTGTCGCTTTTATTTTTGGCAGGGTAGTAACAAAGTATTAGCAAGTAATTAGATGACTTTTTTAACTGAAGCAATTCTGGATGCAACTTTAAAAGAATATTATACTTAAACTTGGGAATCGTTCAAAGCGTGAGTTGTCTTTCGCAGTCGTAATATTCTCCTTTACTTCCCGGTAAATCCATATTTTATCCCAATTTTGTGAGCCTTTATAACGAACAGCAAAGGGTAGTAACAAAGTATTAGCAAGTAATTAGATGACTTTTTTAACTGAAGCAATTCTGGATGCAACTTTAAAAGAATATTATACTTAAACTTGGGAATCGTTCAAAGCGTGAGTTGTCTTTCGCAGTCGTAATATTCTCCCTTACTTCCCGGTAAATACATATTTTATCCCAATTTTGTGAGCCTTTATAAACGAACAGCAACCGCCACAATTTTAGCACAAGCCCCTTCCAGTTTCTGGATGATTATGTTCGACGAGTCAGTTCTCAACGTTATCCAGTGTTTCGGAGACACATTCAGGGCTTTCTTTGCCGCTTCCTGTTGCGCTGAATCAGATAACTTAACAAGCACTTGAATGGAGCAAATATCGTAAACTATCCTTGCAGGAAGCGCATTGATGAGTTCTGAAAACATACTTGTCAAGTCAGTTGCTGTCGTGCTCATTTCTAGAGAAAAAGAGGGCTTGCATCTTCTTGTACAATGGCTTATACGTCTAAACACGAAAAGTCCACCGTCCATCCACAGAATTACTTTCCGGAAGGTTTCAAACGGTGTCTATGGAACGATAAGAATTAATAGTCCCGCATTTGGAATTTTTTATCCTACAAGTGTTCTATTTTAATGAACGGGTCTCTCATAGTTGGACTGTTGAACAAGACAAATTTTTCCGAAAAGATTTTGGAAAGTATGAGTTTATTTTTATATCCGTAGTCGGGTAATGACTTTGACGACATCCTCAACTTTTTCGATGTCAATAAAGTAGATTCTACCTTTGATTCAAACAAACTAGCCTATGACTCTTACTGAGCCATGGGATCGGCGACATCAATTATTATTAGACTGTCTTCGAATTTCTTCCGTCAAACGATCAAGTTCTTCCTCATGAGTAATGATATTTCCAGCTTCGAAATTGTGGTTTTGTATGCGGTCACAGGGGTGCACAGTTTCGTTCCCTTCAATCCGCTTTTTAAAATGGGAAGCATGAAGCTTATTTTTGCGTGAAAGGTTGGCGGTTTGTCTGCACACTGAGAAAATACCACTTGCAACCAATACACAGAGAAGCCTTCCGACTTTCACGTACAAAACGTAGGTGGATCTAAATTTAGAGTGAATGTAGGCACGACAAGTTTTACCCGGTCATGTGTCCTAAAATAGTACATCTTGAGTAAAACACTCGAAATAGACACTACACAAGTTCAGAGACTGCGCATCAATGGCAACTATTTTTTGCTTCTTGCATTTTTTCAGTTGGCATCTTCAAAAGGAACACGCTGGAATAGTGTTGCATTCAAATGCCTTTGAAATAAATAGATCGATGCTTTAGATATGCAATATTGCAATCAGTTTTGAGCCTGTCTGATCGCGCCCTATTCATACGAGCCGGAAACCTTGAAGGTGCTTGTGACTGAAACCATTCCGCTAGTCGTTCACAGTGCCCCTGTTTCTGAAGGAGTCTCACTATCATTAACCTATGGGCATGGTTGTTCGCAGCATCCGGAGCATCATCTGAGATATTCTCAACTCAAGCAAGCTCCGGGATTTTTGCCTGATACTTCACGAAATGTTTATCTTTAAGAAATGGACCTAGCTTAAACCGATGTCTGTTTTGAAATAGCATGAATATTTCTTTCTTTGTTACCTGGAACTTCACATCGGCTAGCTGATTTTTCGTGGGTAAGTAGTACGAATCAACTGGATTTAGAACCACTCATTCTATATAGGACAGGCTGAAAAGAGTTTTTCGATATCACGTCCATTCATCCTTTCGACGGCAATAAAACCGCGACAAACGTAAAATCTTTACGTATTATTTTCCATTCCTTGACGACAGAACCATGATTGTTCATAGGGTCCAAGTGTAAAACGATATCTCACCTACCAATGTTTTGTCGGATAGACTGCTGATCCACGAGCTTCAGTAGAACATGTGTTTAGATCTTGGATCACATCAGAAACTTAGCTGTTGTCAACATATCCCAAATTCGCTCCAAATCAAAAGCAAAGGTACACTTGCACGCAAAATTCGACCCTTAATGATATGATGTCACGCGTGAGCCGTTACAAATTAGAGGCAACAAAATATGAAGTTGAACATACTGCACAAGGTATGATATATAATGTGACTTTTGTTTGACCTTGAGGCATACCAGATTTCAAATGCATTTCTGATAAAGAGCAAAGCATCGTGGAGGCAAAGCGGATGAGCGCGGAATCAGGTGGATGACATAGCACAAATTCCAATTCATTTGTAACATTCCACTCCCTTTGTCATATGAGCGACCTCGCATTCCATCATACTATACATTCACCGGAAGACAAAACAAATGAGTCTGCGCAGGTGCAGCGCACATAAGCACACGTGATAAATTGGTTTACACTCCCCAAACACGCTGGGTGGCCTAAATTTCAAATACGTTAGAGTCGTTCTTAAAAGACAGTTTCCCTGAAATGATTTAACTGTGCTGGTCTGTGGTGGATTCCACCGCTCTAACACAGGGAGTAATGGTCTTTGCTCTCTCACTTATGGCCAGTATTGTGTTTATGATAGTTTTCGTTTTCTCTACGATGCCCTCGTACATCGTCATCAGTCACTGGCTAGTTTGTACGTTTACGTGGCTGAAATAGAGCTTTTTCCTCAACCTCCTGACAAACCAAATGCATAGAAAATCGACGGTTTGGCATTGGCATTTTGAGTCTTTGGGAGGACGTGACTTTTTGTTTATGACAGTGATTTAACATGTGAACATGCATCTAGAGAGCCGAACTTAATATGAGTGAAAGTATACATTGATGAACATACGTTACTTTGTTTCCTCTGTACGATGAAGGCATTGGGTTCTTGAGAATCCATGCAATGGAGTCCATTAACAATGCTTAGTTATAATTAGGCCAGCCACCTTGTCACCGGCCCACACAGGTACCTTAAAATTCCGTTGAAGCTGAAGTCACTTCGATATCCAAGAAATATCCTGGAAGGAGATGAAAATGATCATTGTCTTGGAACTCGTCCCTTAGTTTATTTTATCTTGTCCAACTTATAATGGCGCTTACTCAAACATTTAATTCATCATAGAATATGACCAGTTTACCCTAAAAATATGATTCTTTGGTGCCTTCTAAAAGCTTTTGAAGGAGCGTGATCTATGCATAAAGTATAAATCTTCAAAGGACTGTCAGAGAGGGTTGATTTGGTTGTTCTTGAAGGAGCGTGATCTATGCATAAAGTATAAATCTTCAAAGGACTGTCAGAGAGGGTTGATATTGGTTGTTCGCATCTTCAGGATCGATCACCAATACACAAGTGAAACAAGAGTTTAAAGTAAATCTTCTGCGCCGATCGAATTAAGGAAATTAAGTGAAACATGTTGCAGAATTCGTTTACTTCGCATCCATGCATGTAACCAAATGCGCATATGTGAGGCCACAGCCCCATAGCTGACAATCTGTTCAAAGTTGCTTGGCATAACTCAATGGAACGCAATTTTTCTGCCGCGCCACCTGTTTGTCTCAACAGGAGATTCGTCCCATAACGGTAGTTGATTTTCCACGAGCACTAGTACATTTTGACCTTCCTAGCGTGTCCCATCGACACAAGTCGGATGACGTTAGAAAGGTAGCTCGAAATCACTTCCTATAGGAGAATGTTGGTTCTGTCTGAAACGAGCTACCAAAGCTGTTTTCCCGAGTCATCTTTGATGGCCAAATTTCAGAACAAACTGCCTACTCAGGATAATAAGGTGAACATGATAAATAGAGAGGTCACGCAGACCAAGAAGGCAGAAAATAAATCCGGATAAAACAGAAACAGGAGAACAAAGCGTTCGGTATCCTGTGCATAGGTCTGAGAAAATGACTCTTAATGCAAAACATGCTCACTCAACAGCAGAATTGTCAGTAAACTTGATCACAGTGTACTGGTAGTCAAGTTTGAAAGACTATACGCGAATGCTCAATAAAAGTGGTGACACCGCTCCATGAGTCATGGCACGTTTGTTGGCACGGGTTTATTCCATATTCCTTTCAATAGAACAACAATAGGCGGAAATGATCTTCCGATGTCATTCAAGTCTGTACACCAGGGGTTCAATATCAGTTAAATCTAAAGCACAGCCTAACTACAGGAGTTAGGCGAGAAACCAGCTTGCTACCAGGCCTTGACTATCTCCTAACACGATAAACGATAGCATCGTGGTAAATTTCCCTGGCCCGCATGCTTTCTGATC